AATTATTTCTCTTAGAAAAATAAATAGAATAAAAACAGGTATCATTACAGGTACGTCCCTCGATAAGTCCTCCCCTTTTTAAATCGAGAGCGAAAAAATTAAAAAATTTTAATAATAGTAATAATATTAAAATTAGAAAACGAAATGAAAAAAATTGTTATTGTTATTAACGTTATCGCGTTTTATTTATTTATTTTTATTTATTTATTTATTAAAAATTAATAAAATTTATTTAAATAATTTTTACACAACATTTTAAAATTGTTTATAAATATTTTGTTTTGTTATTAATACCCTAAAGCAATAGAAACTAAGTGAATTTACAAAATGGAAAAAAACTAGAACCCGTTTTTCTCTCTCTTTTTTTCACGGGGGGAAACGCCTTTTTTTGCAATATTTCTTCTGCTACTTTTTTTTTTTTTAATCGTGCCCCCTAACGAAAAATCTATTTAAATTTGATATTTTCATACCCCCACACGATTTTTTTTTTTTTTTTAGGTACCATACTATTAAAAAATCTTTAAAAGCAGAAACTTTTTATTAATTTTTTTTTGTAAGCCATACACAAAAGGATATAAACGTTTTTAAAAGGTTAAATTAATAAACTTTAGTTTATTCCTTCTTAAAAAAAAAAATGGAGGAAAAGTTACAAGATGTTAAAGTTATAAAAAAAATATATATTATTGGTTCCAATAAAGAATCATTTTATGAGGTTTTATTCTAAAATATAAAACAACACGAAAAAGAAAAAGAAAGATTGCTGATGAAATAACCGAGAGAGTGAGAGAGAGAGAAAATAAAAAGGGGAGATTTTAAGACCCGCATTTTTATATTAAAAAAAAAAAAATCCATTGTTTTGTTTTCTTTTTTTTCTTTAATTCGGACATTTTCTTTCTTTATATTTAAATAATATTTTAGAAATTACCAAAGAATAATAATTTAACAATAAAACGTGAAATTCGTTTATTTTTTTTATTTTATTTTGGGGGGTACATTTAGTTCAAAAAAAAACCAAACCGTGGCGCCATTTTCGCTCCCCAATTTTTTTTTTTTTTTTCAGTGAAAGCCAAAATAAGAGCTTCTTTATCTTATCCGTTAATTATTTATATTCTTTTTGAAAAAATGAATGCTTTTAACTTAAACTCGAGTTTCAAAAAAAAAACTTTTCGCAGAAAAAAATGTTTCGAAACTTTCGACCTAAAAAAAAAAAAAAAAAAAAAAAAAAAACTCGAACGAATCAAATCTTTTACAATTAATCACACCGATTGATTCATTCATTTATTTATTTATTTATTTTTTGAAAAAAAAAAAAGAAAACCGATTTAAAAGATATTATTTCTTTTTGTTCAAGTGGTTAAAAATTTGTATTTTTATTCATTCACAATTTTTCCTTCTGATCTGGCATCCCATACCCCCTTCCACCCCCCACCCCCATAAAACCATTTTGAAAAGGAATGAATTAAAAATAAAACATTAGAAACAAACACTTGTCAACAAGGGTTTCATCGTTTCACAAAAATTAAACTAAGTAAATAAAAACAACCAGGTCGGTCAACAACAACGACAACAATCAAAAGAAAAAATCAAAATTAAAAATCATCCCTTAATTCCATCCCTACCCTTTTTCTCCTGAATAAAACAAAAAAAAATTTTTTAAATTAGTCTGATTCAAGTTTGAATCAAAAAAACTCTTTGAAAACTCATTAAATATTGAACCCTACACTTTTTCCTCCATCATTTATTTTTATTTTTTACCCCCAACATCAATTTCCAACCCTTAATAATAATAATAATAATAATAACGGTTAGAATAACACGGTGAAAGAAATTAACTCAGGAGGATGATCCTTTTTGATTTTTTTTTTTTTTTTTGCAATATTCATGTTTAAAAAGAAAAAAAAAAAACTTACCCTCGTTATATTTGCAGTTTTCGTTCGATATCCTACTCTCGGTGGAATCCGGTTCGTTTGTATTTACGGATTGAACGTTTGCTGAGTCATTGTCATCGTTGCCCTCGGTTCGAAGCATTTCATTTCTTTTTATTATGTTACAGTCTCCTTTTTCTTTTTCAACGCCACCACCATTATCACCGTCATTATTATCATCTTTCACATTTCTTTCTCCTTCCCCACCCTCCTGAATTTTATTACATTCTAAAACTTCTCTCTTGATGACCACATAATCACTGCCCTCGAATCTTTTTTGATTTTTCGAATTGACTTCTCCTTCTTTAGAATTTTCTATTTTGTAATAATTATCTGGCGAATGATCGAATGTTTTCGCCATTAAATTTATTTGTGATTTTCCAGGATCCGTTGCGATCGGATTCGTTTTGGAATCGTATGGAGATGATACGTTTGCTCCGAATGGAAATTTGATTGATGAAAAAAACGAGTCGGACACTAAAAAAAAAAAAAAAAAAAAAAATTATTTTTTCAAATAGGATATCAAAAGACTTAAGTTTGACTAAATAGGAACATCTCATTAAACGATTATGAATCACGTGACCCTTAATTTTCCCTGTCGAAAACTCGATTCGATTTTTTTAAAAAAATTTTTTTTTTTTTTTTTGTAATTACCTTTTTGAGTATCTAAAAAACCCTGGAAAGAATTCCCTGATTGTGTTGTAGCCTTAGCAACGGGAGTATATAAAGTTTTAGCGTTATCACTCGGACCTGGAAACAGGGAGTAGATGTTGTAACCCCTGTTGAAAACATTATTTTGATGAGCTGGTGGTGGCCAAACAGTCGTTCGACTTTCGCTCTCAGTTCTAAATGGGGCTCCGGACGCTTGAGACGGCGCGGAGCCCCCTAGCATTGTTGGTAATATCGGCGGAGTGTTTCCTGAAATCAAAAAGAAATTATTATCATTATTTTTTCATATAATTAAACATATAAATATAATTTCGAAAACTCTTAGAAATTTTAATCCTTTTTTTTTGCATTAAAAAAAAAAAAATGCATAAATAAATTATTTTTTACTTTCGTATAATTTCTCTTGATGCGAAAATAATTTAGTTTAAAAAATTTAACGAGGATTAATAATAATTATAATAATAATAATACTTTAAACCTTGGCCAATGAGAAAACGGGGAGCGAAAAAAAAAAAAAAACTTAAATTAAAAAAAAAAAAAAAGCATAAAATCTTTTTTGTCTTTAATGAAATTATATAACAGAGATCAACTTAAAAAAAAATAAAAAGATTTTAACGGATTTAAAATATAATTATTATTATTATTATTATCATTGAAAAAATATATGTATAAATTTTATCTTGGAAAAACATTTCGAGCAAATCAAACAAATCGAACGCGTTTGCGAATGAAATAATATTTTTTTTTTATTTTTGAAAGTACAAGGAGGCATGTTCATCAATGGAAAAAAATTTCCAATTCGAAAAAGGGAAAAATCAATTTCAACTATGAAATCAAAAATTATCCTTTAAAATGCACGGAAATCCGACTATTATTATTATTATTATTATTTTTTTTTAATTAAATTAATTTCAATTTCATTCTCGCAGCAGAAAATCAATTTATTGTAATTTATATATACATATTTTTTTTATTAATTAAATTAATATGCGTACGCGTATTATTATTATTATTATTATTATTATTATTATTATTATTATTACTTCATAAATTTATAATTTATACAAAATTTTAATAAAAAAACAGAAAGAAAACTAAAAATTTATAAATTTTCCGTTGTTTTTCATCGCTCAACTAAACTTCGTAATAAAATGAATTAAATTTTATTGGAAAATTCATTTAAATTTTCAAAATCTCTTTGCTCCCCATTCAAATGGGGAGCCTTAAAAAAATCAATCAATTCAATCCAAATCTTTTCAAATAAAAAAAAAAAAAAATTTTTTTTCTCTTCTTCTCAAGAGAATCGATTCCGGATTTCCCGGGGAAAAAAAAAATATTTAAAACAAAAAATTCATTTTTTTTTTTTTTGTCTACTTCCACTACACTTTTTTGTTTTTTGTCAATTTTAATCACGAATGATAATACGGACACGCACGTACGCACGCACGCACACACGCAAAATTAAATAATCTCTATTATCAAAGGATTAATTTTTTTTTTTTCCGGCGGTGGCAGTGTTGCATTTTTAACTTTTCCGCGGCGGGAAAATTTTAAATTTTAAATTCTTCAGTAATTTACTTTGTTTATAAAAAAAAAAATTAATAATAATAATAATGATAATGACTTGCTTAGTATATTTAAAGACCGCGCTAATGTTGTTTCTCCCTTAACTACTGTTGTGTTGTTGTAGCCCAACCCCCCCAAAACGAGTTATAAAAAATTTTTTTTTTAATAAGTTTTAAGAAGGGGGAGGGGGAAAGAAAAGAAAAGAAAAAAAAATTGTTATATAAAACGAAAACTTTTTCTTTTTTTTTTGTTTCACGATCGATTCTTTTTAAAAAATTAATAATTTACCTGAGATACGAAATTTTAGATTTTACGGTTACAACTAGTAACGGATAAATAATAATAATAATAATAATTTTTTTATAAATTTAATAGAATGGTAGTAAGTCGAAAAGGAAAAAAAAAAAAAAAAAAAAAAAAACTAGTTAATTACATAAATCATCGATCGGAGAGGAAAAATATAAAAATTAATAAATAAATGAATTAAATAATAATTAAATTTTTACGTAATGCGAAAGTTTTTTTTTTTTATCAAAAACTCTCTAATCGATAAAAAACAAAAATTTATCATCATCATCATCATCATCATTATTATTATTATTAACTTTGCGCTATCAATCTGTATATATAAAAGAATTAAAACTTTAAAAAGAAAAAAAAAATTTTGTTTTTGTTTTTTTGCACTTATAAAAATCAATAAGAAGTAAACAATAGCAAACGAATTTATTGTTTCATTTGTTGATAAATTGAAAATAATAATAATAATAATTATCGATTTGATACGGTTAATGATTTTTTTTTTTTTTTTAAAAGAAAATTTAGTCGGAAAATCATTTTTTTCTTCTTATTTAAAACATTTTAACGAATATAAAAAATTTTTTTTTTTTGGTTTTTTAAAATTTAATAAATTTGTCATAAATTCTAATTAACGTCGTAAACAAACCGATAAATAATTTTCCTCTTTTCTAATTACACTGCAATGTACTGAGAAAGAGAGAGAGAGAGGGGAAAAAAATGTAAGTACGCGCGTTTTTATGTTGTTGCTTTTTTTTCTTTTCTTTTTTTTAATTTACGATTTAAACTGCGCGGTTAATTTTTTTTCCACGGCATTTTTATTAGCGCAAATATATTTTTATAAATTACTCTGAAACCACGAAATTTCATTTTAAAAAATAAAAAATAAAAAAATTACATACGTACGTGACGTGCTATTGTGTGTATAGAATTCAAATTTAAAAAATAAAAAAAAATTTTTTTTCTTTTCCCATTCTTCCTCCTCCCCTCCCTCCCCCTCCCCGTCTTGTTGCTGATTTCAAATGAAAAAAAAAAACATTGTTAAAATAGAAAAGAAAAAAAAAAAGGGGGGGGGGAAATGAAACTTTTCTCTCTCTCTCTCAAGACTATAACAAAAATAAAAAAATTTAAATGACAATAATAAATTACAATTTGATGCTACCGTCAAAAAAATATCCCTAATAATACATCAATATTAAACAACGAGTATCTTCATCCCTCCCTCCCTCCCTTTTTCGACCTTTCCAATATTGATTATACGAAAAAAAATCAATATTATAAATCAATTTTCAAAAAAAAAAAAAAAAACTAATAATAATAATAAATAAATAAAAATATAAATAATTATTATCATAAATTAAAATAATATATCGTGGCACGAGAAAGAACAACAACCACAAAAAAAAATTCAGTTAATTTAAATATCGTCAAACAAAAATCAAATACGGTTGCTCTTCAAAAAAACTTCTACTTGACTAACGTTTAGGTACTACGAGGAACCTATGATTATAGGTTTTAGGTACAAAAACCAGTAAAAAAAAAAAAAATTAAAAATTAAAAATGGTCGTTGTTGGAGATGTATAAGGTTGTAAACTGGAAAAAAAAAAAATGGTTGTCGGCCCGGGTATCTTATTACACGTTGCCTAATTTTTTTCATTATTATTATAATAAAAATAACTTTTTTCCTTTTTCTTTTCCCTTTTTTATTTTTACGTGCAAAAAAATCAAATTTTTTTCTCCAAAAATTGGAGAAAAGAGAAAGAGAGAGAGAGAGAGAAAAAAAAAATATTTAAACTTATTTTTTTCTGTTTTTTTTTCGTTTTCCGTCGGATGAAATAATAATAATAATAATAATAATAATAATAATAATAATAATAATAATAATAATAATAATAATAATAATAATAATAATAATAAACAATTATTATATAATCTTATGCTTTTTTTTTATCTTCTTACTTGTCATTTAAACTTTACTACGGTTTATTATTAAAAAAATCAAACAAACAAACAGAGCCAAACTTTTTTTTTTCTCTTTCTCTCTCTCTAAACTTTTTCGTTCATATTTTTTTTTAATTTTAATATTTTTCAAGTTTTAAACAATATGAAAAAAAAATAAAAATAAAATAAAACTAAAAATAAAAATAAAATAAAAAGCGAAAAAAAAACAAAATTAAAATCAAACGGAAAAACAAACATTTATAAATTTCTCTCCCAGGTTTTTAAACTTCTATCAAAAAAAAAAAAACACAATTTTATTATTATTATTATTATTATATATAAAATTAAAATTATTATAAACTTTTTTAAAGCAATAAATCTATAAAATAAAAAACGAACTTTATCGCAAAACCCTCCCTGACTTTACATTTGTCAAATAAATTTCTCTTCCTTTTTTTTTTCGAGGAGGGGGGAAATGGGGAGGAGGGGCGGGAAGGAGTGGTGGCAGTAGGAAAACTTGATGCCACACGAAATTAAATAAAAACCCGAAAAACCTTTCACCTGAATATCTTTAAAATTACAGTCGTAAAAAAAAAAAAGTAAAGAAAAACATTAAAAACGTCAGTAGCAAAAACCCGGATAAAAATAATTACAATACCACCACCAGACGGAGATTTTCCTTTTTTCCCTTTTTTCTTTTTCTTTTCTTTTTTTTCCGGATAACTTAAAAGTTAATTTTAAGAATTTTCCCCTCTTTTCCTTTTTTTTAAATTTATTACCGAATTCAATTGATCATTAATTACCCCCCCCATTTAAAAGAAGGGCAAAAAAAAAAAATTATCAACTTCTTACAAAAAAAAATATTAATAATGGTGATAATATTAAAAGCCGATAATAATAATAATAATAAAACGGTACATGAAACTACCTGCGATGAAAACCTCCCTTAGGGAGTAAAAAAAAAAAAAAAAAAATTAATAATAATAAAGTATCCGTTGTATCTCCAATTTTTTTTTTTTTAATTGGAATTTAAAAAATTTCCATTGGTTTAACAGTAATATCGAAATTTTTAATTTTTGTTTTTTCAGGTGCGAACCTTTCATTTTTTTTCTATATCAATCATATAGTAAAAAACAAAAATGGCAAACAAATTTTTCCACCCAATAATTCCATTTCGTGATGGCACAACAACCCGCAGCATCAAATTTTCTTTTCTTTTTTACTTAAGTAAATTTATTTCACGTTTTGTGTCTTAAGATTTTTAAATAAATGAGGGGTCGAGGTACCCCGAGGTATTTTTTTTTTTACGCGCTCGTGCTAATAGATAATATTTTTTCTTTTGCCTACGACACACACAACCTTGTTTAAATATTTAACTTTACACAATTACGTGAAAATTTAGAGAGAGAGAGAGAGAGAGAG